ATTCGTGGGTGTAGATCCTATAGTTGCAAGTTAGCATTTATTTGAGTCACAACGAAGGAGAGAAGGGGGTGATTTATTTAAAGATGCAAGTAAGCATCAGTACTCATTAAATTATTTAACAGCGTGATGATACAATTCTGTTTCAATCAAATGCTGCGTGAATCCGATAGTATAACGGCTCGCAGTTCATTGAAACTATAAGAATATGTAAAATCACATAGTTATATTTAAATATTAACTGGTATCTATATTTCGCTTGTCTTAATTTGGCCTCTTATCCTGACTAGAGTAGTAACAATATTTACTAGTATTTCTTATTAAAAATCATATTTATTTCGATCTTGCCTTGTAACTAATCTCATATTATCCCAAATGAATTAGAAAAATCATATTCAAATATTAAAAAAGCTTTTTGACCTGTCATTATTTACCCAACTAAAAATTGTCATTATTTGACCCAGGAGCTACTTTTTCCTTTAAAACTTTACTGAGAGAAATAAAATTAACATACAAGCATAGGAATTATATCAAAATAGAGGAAAAAGATACCGTATGACATAGAATAGGTTAGATCTCATTCAACGATTCAGCAATTAAGAAAATATAACTTAAAAAAAAGATCCAGGTTTTACCTGATTTCACAAATTTTAAACTTCTCCGCTAGCTATATTTGGTTTTTGATTTTTACTACTTTTTCAAAAGATGATTTAGATGCTTGAGAACTGTCTTTCTATTAACGAGTAGTGGTAAAATAGACGCGGGAAAGAGGAGAAATTAAAGTGTCACTATTTGTCCCCCCTTTCCTTCATGCTTATTTCAAATCATCGAAAAACCGCGTTAAGTAGATGCGCTAGAGTTAGCATACCCGTATACCATATATACACGAGGGCATCTATAAATGTGTAATGCGCGCTCTGTATGACGTGGGGCGTTAAAGCGGGAACTGGCGAGTCGCCTTATGAATTTTAATGAGGTCGCATCGCCACGTGATAGGGGTGTAAGGGTTGTCCCGCGTCGGGCGTCATACCCGCTGTCAAACAACCCTTAACCAAGCTGCCGGTCGCCAGTTTCCATCGTCGCGACTATGATCTTGCACATCGTCGCGAGATGATCTGCGAGAGAGACGCTATACAAGCTGCGCCCTAAAACGGGAACATCGAACGACACTTTAGCGAGTAGTAAATGTTAAAGATAATGCGGTGCGAAGATAACGCGGAAAGTGGTGTTTGTAATTTTGATTGCAAAACCGCGAGAGGCAAGAGAAAACTGACGAAAGAGGATTTTAATTTTTCGCAAACGGATGCAATTAATTACGCAATACGTTTTTTGTACGGAGACAAATTTATTGCCTTTGTGCGGAGCAGATGTTATTGTACTTCTAAAACTCGCACAGGGGTTTTAGGTTCACCGCACAATATTTCATCAGTTTTAAGTGTGAGGAGAACACTCGAAGAAATGAAGAAAGCGAGAGAAAGCTAGGGGAGAGTGGACGAGAGAAAAAAAGAATGGTTCGACTTTTCGGACCTCGCGTCGTTAATCATTCGCGCGAGACTCGATAGGCGTATGCATTATTCAGTAGCTTTTCGATGCCGGCTATGCATAGCTTTTGTCGATGTTCAAGCAGCCGCATTCGTCGGGAAAACCCGTCAGACTCGTGTGGAAAAGTGGGGTGAGTTTGCTCGTGCCCATAGAATGGGTCTCTATGGCGGTTATATCGGCCGCCATATGGGACCCTCGCTATAATTCATTCGCGATAACATTGCCATTTCATCGCGAATCGCTATGAAACTCTCGAAAAACCTGTTTCGTTTTCGTCAAAACATTGCCTCCATAAAAACTTATTTTTATATACATAAAAGGCACACTGAGAAAAAAAAAACTGATTGTACGAACTAAATTTGTGTAGTTGTTTGAACCAATGATTGATTCAACAATTCTTTATAAGTTGCACAAAGAAGAGTATAGGTCATTCATGTCGACCATCAAAATTTTTTAATCAAGAATTAACTAAACCAACTAAATTAAATTATTTTGCTCGAAATATCAGTGGTATTTATTTGTGTTTGCATACTATTTATTTAGTTATTCAAGTAATATATTTGTTCAAATTCCAAGTATTAAACTGACTAAACGATGCTGAAGGGGATAATAAATAGTGTGTATTTTTAATCAAACGGTTGTGTTAAATACGATAAATTTTTGTTGAAACAAAATAGTTTAGTTAAGAAATAGGATTTTGTTTACAATAGTAACAAATTATTTTGTGTCATCGCAGTAACGTTTAATTGAAAATCGGAAAAGTATATTGATCTAAATATTTTGGTAATATGAAACAAATTTTGCATTTTTCAACAAATTTTTTTTCTCAGTGCAGTACATGAAAAGCACTTTATCGTGTGTGTGTGCGTGTATATAAAAGAAATAGTATGTGAAAAATAGTTATATGTATATGCTTATGACGCTTATGTATACTAGAGAAAGTAACGCGTTATTTAATTGTAACGTCGTTACCATTATTTTTTCGTTGTTTTCTTCTGCCTGTAATTTCAGTTATTGCTTTTATCGGTACTCTTTGACCCTAGGTATAACTAATCATTTTTTCCGCCAAGAATCGACAGTGGAAAATTAAACAGTCTGCAATATCTTCGCGAGAATTAATTTTGTTCATTTCATAATATGAACAAATTACGAAAATTGTAATCTCTTCCGGTCCAACGTAACGATGTTAATGAATTTTGACCTTTCCCTATTCGCACCGAATAATACCCGCTAATATTTCAGGACACCGCACGCTTATTGAATTTAAGTCGTGCTTTTCACGCGATTTCCTTTGCAATACTCGCCTACATTTCATATACTAAAATCTATTTCCGCTAATCTCTTTTCCGATTTCTCATACGAACAAGGAAAATGTAATTATACCCAAATTATACGTCTCTTACGTTTTTTTTTAAATTAAAAGCATCGATATATCCTCTCTGAAATCCAACATTTTTTTTATACTTCTTATTAAATACTAAAGAAATAATTATTTAATGACACGCCACGATAAATACGATTTATTTCCTGATGACGCTCCATTTTGTATAAAGTATTCTTTCTATACAGTGTTGCTTCTTATCAATCGAGATACGGTATTGCGACACGATCTAATTGGCTATGTAACGTTTTTGTTTTGACATACTTTCTGTTTATTCTGCGATATTATAACGAACTCGTACTCGAGGATTATGGTTTGCTTCCAAGCAGCACCACTGATCGGTTTAGAACACGAGGAAACGACATCTCGAGTATTTGTCGTCGACATTTCTGCCGTAGGAACTCCTATGTTGCGAGCTGTCGCGATTTCCTTCGCAGAAGCGGCTGACTAATTCGCGTCTGTACCATTTCGTTTCACTATCGATCCTCCGCGCGAATCTCAGTCTCATCCGGCTCGACTGAAATTCGATTTTACGCTTTGCGATGCCCTAACTCAATAATCATTTGAATGTTTAAATAAAATAATCATTGTCATTAAAATAACAAAGGTACTATGTCATTTTAATGACACTGATTATTTTAATATTAATCTACTATTAATCTAATATTGGCTTCAATATTAATTTAATATTGAAGTAATATATAAGGGAAGGCGGGGCAAATAGTGACGGATTTTTTCCTCTCTCTCTTACAAGCTAATTTCAAGTTTACAAGATATGATTTCTCACTAAAAGAGTACTTTCCACTTTCAAATATACAAAAAACTGAATTAGAGTTTTCATAAGTCATGTATATGGGCTAGATTTTCATCAAAACTGAAACTTACATTTTTCACTATTTGCCCCACTCTATGGGGCAAATAGTCACTATGGGTAAATAGTGACACCCTATGGGACAATTACAAAATACATAATTCTTAACTCCTAATCGATCTTTCTTTTGACATTTTGATCAAATAAGGTAATTTATATTCATTTCTATACTCTGGCACATATAAATTTTTATTTATTGATAAATAATAGTAGTAACATTATTTGCTAATATTTCTTATTGAAAATTACATTTAAGATCGGAAGAGCACACGTCTGAACTCC